TGTTTTATGTTTATGTACAGATTCTGGGCTGTGTACCCTTGTGGGTATCAACAATTTGAGGTGGTATTATGTAATGACAGGTATGCAGTTGACCTGATCAGAAGGACTTGTGGATGCAGGAGATGGCAGTTGACTGGAATACCCTGTGTACATGGAGTGGCTGCAATTTCATCCATGAACTTAAACTCAGAGGATTATGTAGCTAACTGTTACAGTAAGGAAACTTATCTCACCTGCTATGCATACATTATTCATCCTTTGAATGATAGCTCTTTATGGACACAAAGTGAGTACACCAAACCTTTACCCCCAAAGAGTAGAAGGCTACCTGGTAGGCCATCTACTAAGAGGAGGAAAAGTGCAGCAGAAAGGGAGATATCAAGCAGACACACAGTATCAAGAGTAAAGCAGGTGCAAAGGTGTTCAATATGCTATGTTAGTGGGCATAAAAAAAATGGGTGCCCAACAAAAAGAATTCCAACAACAGGTGATCCCGTTCCTGGATCTTCCACTCCAGCTCCAAGTGCAACACCAGGATCCACTTCTGCAGCTCCAAGATCCACTCCGGCAACTCCAAGACCAAGATCCACTTCTGCAACTCCAAGACCAAGATCCACTCCTGTAACTCCAAGATCCACTTCTGCAAGACCAGTTCAAAGTGAAGTTCAATTGAGAAAGAGGAAAGCTTCAGAAAGAATCATCAAACAATGCCTGAGGAAAAAAGTGGTGCCCAAGGATGGTAGTGGTTGTAGTTCAAACAAACCTGTAGATTTGGGTTGATTGTAGGTTTGATGTTGAACTCTTTTTTTTGTTATGTATGCATGTGGGGTGTAAATGTTAGGTAAGCATGTGTTGGTCGAATCTTTTGATATTAAATGTAATATTGTACTAGACTAAGGGACAAAACTATCCAGCTTTTGATGCTATTTTGATGCTTAATGGGACACCTTTTTAAGGGTGTTTGTAGCTATGACAATATTACCCTTTAATATATTTTTTGCTTTAAATCTTTAAATTGATTCTTGGTTGTTGAATCATGCGCTTTACAGATGTACTTTGCCTTCAATTACTGCTTCTTCCTTTAATATATTTTCTCCTTTAAAACTTTTAACTGATTCTTGGTTGTTCATTATAATTACTGCTTTTGCATTACATTGAGATTGGTTGTTCACTATAATAGCATTTAGATTTCAATACATTACAATTAAAATTTTCATTACCAAAAGCTTCATTTGCATTCAGACATATGATTTCATTACATTATAGGTACCCTTACAATCAGAATAACAAAATAATGGGTACCCTTTATATTCAAAAGATGTCAACTGCATCATAATTCCATTCAATATAATTTAACAAAGTACAATAGAAACAAGACAATCAAAGCTACTTTATGCCATTTCATCATCTTCTTCATTTCATTCAGCTCATGACTAAGACCCAAAAGCTCCTCTGTGTACGGATCTTCAACAACCCATTCCCAAAATCCACACTTTCTCCCTGCTCTCTATAAAAAAAAATGAAAAAGAACAAAACTTTAGCATAAATGCCATAACTTACACGCTTATAACAGAGATTTAAAGAGAGAAAAGCTTCAATCTTCAAAATTGGCCATTACCAACGAATTAGGGCATGTTCTGAACCTTTTCCCCGGATTCTGTGGTGTCGTGGAGACTCGAATCCGACTCGGGAGCCCACAATAGCACATGATTCGGATGTTTGAGGTGGAGGCGATGGAGGCTTGCGACATCTTCTTCTATTCTTCTTCAACTCTTCAATTTAGGGCATAAGAAAAATAGGACATTGTTTGAGGTGGACTCGATGGGGTTGTTATAGGCATGCCACTGGACACGTAAGCTGCCAACTAAGCTAAACAAGAAGCAAACGGTAAAAAAGGTTAAATGTAAACGGTAATTACGACCATAATGGTCTAATATGCACAAAAAAAACCTAAGTGATCTAATGCGGACAAACAAGAAACCTAATTACCCTCCCAAGTCATTATCCCTTTATTTTATGTGTTAGAGTAGGGAGTTAGAGCAAGCAAACTTGTGTTTTGGAGGCCTAATTTGTTCCAATGGACCTGTAAATCTGCCGGTAATTTTGTGCGGTGATACAGCAAATCAACAAACTTGTGTGAAACTATTCATCACCACTATATATATATATATATATATATATATATATATATATATATATATATATATATATATATATATATATATATATATATATATATATATATAAAACCCTTATTTAATAATAAGAAAGCTTTACTTTTGTAATTATAATATTAAAATATATGTTTAATGTTAAATTTTAGTACGTGGTTGGATTTGAAAATGATTTTTATACTTTTTTGCATAAAAATAGGATGATTTATAGTGCTAGGAGCCTAGGAGTTGGTCTTATGTGTACATAGTGAAATTTTGGAAAGTCAAAAAAGTACTACTAGATAGACTTTATGGGGCCCAAAAGGAAATATACACCGAAAAACTAAATTCAGATTCCCGCATTTGCCAGCGTGAGTGACCCTACCCGGACTGAACTCTGCTGAATTCATTGTAATAAGCCATGGCGATTCGCTCACTTCTCACCCGTCTTCAGCCACTAAGGTAAGCTTCGTTGACCCAAATCTGTATTTCTATATGAAACGCACAATACCCACAAAGATTTTATTGCAGTTTCCGTAAAATACGCTACGGTGGAAATGCAAAAGGATTTAATTTTCTAAGGCGCATTTCGTCGAACAACTTATCGGCATCTGCATACCATGACTTGCCGCCTTCTGAACAAAATAACGACATCGACCTTAAAAGCAAGTTACTTTTCCTCAGGTATCCTCGACGAAGCGCGACGAGTGTGCTCCAGAATTGGATCAGCGAAGGCCGAAAAGTCTCCATTTATGATCTTCGAGATATTTCGAATCAACTTGTGAGACGTGGGCGTTACAGACACGCTCTTGAGGTTTGCTCCTTTTACACTGTAGCTCGTATATAATCATGAAACTGCATTGATGGTTTTCCTTTCAAAATGAGAAGTTTGTGATGTACATTTGTTGACAGGTAATGAAGTGGATGGAGAATCAAGAACGTTTCCAGTTTTCTGAAGCTGATCATGCTCTCAGGTTAGAATTAATCATCAAAGTAAGTACTTTGGAAGAAGCCGAAGAGTACTTTGCCAAACTACCTAACACAGCTTCACAAAAAGCTTCATACCTCCATCTTCTCAACTCATACGTTAGAGAAAAAGCCACAGAAAAAGCCGAGTCTCTTATGATCAAAATGACTTCTTTGGGTGCTAATGTGACTCCACATCCATTTAACGCAATGATGAAGCTTTACATAGCCACATCTCAGTTTGACCTAGTATTATCTGTCATATCCCAGATGAAGCAAAACAAAATCCCAAGAAACGTGCTTTCTTATAATCTTTGGATTAGTGCAACTCATGAGGTTTATGGGGTCCAAAATGTCGATATTGTTTACAAAGAAATGTTAAACGACAAAGATGTTATAATCGGATGGAGCACACTTTGTACTTTGGCTAATATCTACATGAAATCAGGACTTTTTGAGAAAGCAACTTTGACACTTGAAAACGCAGAAAAGAAGCTATCTTTCAAAAACCATTTTGGTTACTTTTTCCTCATTACAAACTATGTTTCTTTGAAGAACAAAGAGGGGGTTATTCGCGTTTGGAAAGCTTGCAAAAGGGTAGATGCAAAACTCACATGTGCAAACTACATGTGTATGTTGCTAAGTTTAGTGAAGCTTGATGATGTTGAAGAAGCAGAAAAGATTTTTATGGAATGGGAGTCACAGTGTTGGAAGTATGACATTAGGGTGTCTAATATTCTTCTTGGTGCTTATGTTAGGGGTGGATTAATGGAAAAAACCGAGGGGTTACATATAAGAACATTGGAGAGAGGTGGGTGTCCAAATTATAAGACATGGGAGATACTTATGGAGGGATATCTTAAAAATGGAAACATGGAGAAAGTTGTGGATGCAATGAAGAATGGGTTGAAGATGTTGAAGGATTGTAATTGGAGGCCTTCGGGAATGATTGTTGAGTCTATTTTTGAGTATTTTGAAAAGAGTGGAAAGTTGGAAGATGCTAAGGAGTTTTTAAATGTTATTAGGGGTTTCAATCTTGCTAGTTTGTGTGTATATCGATGTTTGATTAGGATGCATGTAGCAAAAAAGAAAGCGTGTAGTGACATTCTTGAAATGATGGAGGATGATAAGATAGATATGGATGCTGAAACTAGGACCATTGCTCTAGCTTCACAAATTGGTGCGTTGTCATAGATGCTGTAATTTATTTATTTTAATTTCCAATGTTTTTTTTTTTAAAAAAAAAAAAGCGGAATACTTTGTACAAGGTATACAGCAAACACGTGCTTATATAGTTATATATACTCATGGAAACATTCACTTCAATGATTAATTCTTAAATCCTACTTTGACTGTATCTAAATTCTAATCTACATGTAAAAAAGCAAGTCATTCACTTTAGTTCTTGATTTTTATTTCCAATTATAATAAACATCAAAATGACCGGAAACCATTACACAAGGATAAAATAATTATTATGCCTCCATTAATTTTACTACATGTGTACGACACTGTTAGCAGAAAACAGTGTAGTGTACAGTAACAATAAGAAGTTAATTAAGACCCGACAGTTTTCACAGTACCACATGACTTGAGCCAACAATGTTACTCCATGTCTCCAATTCCAGCCAACACTTGTACAAAATTCAACACAAAAAAACAAAATTAGTAATTTATAATTAATATAAAAGGCATCTAATGCTTCCACCTCGATCCTAACCTAGCCTGTATGAGTTAAGTTGAGGCTCGAGCATAGTTGCTCAAGGTTTTTATTTCTAGACATGAAAATATTTTCTATTTTTTCAATTTAAGTATGATTATAACTATAATGACTATTGAATAATCTACTTTTTGAAGTAAAATGGTTTTTACTAGAAGACACTCTGTACGACTTTCAGTCCATTAACTAATGTCCTTAGTAACTTAATTTTTCAAATTTGTCTATTAAACAAATAAAATAGAACTTAAATCGACTCATTGAAATAAGGCTAATAATTAAATATAGAACTTAAATCAACTCATCGATAACTAGTTTATTTTTATTTTTGAAGTTTATTCACTTGTTATATAACTAAAATACTATAAAACTGATCTCATGGGACTTCTTCACAAGTTCTTCAAATATACCCTTATATATACTACAAACTAGCTGAGTTTGCCAAATGCCCAAACACAACCTAAAGATTGTAACCAATCACAAAATACGATGGAGAAACAAATAAGTAGAGAATGGCAGCTACTTTTTTTTTACCAAACACTAGTACTTTTTCAGCTAACTTGTGCCAAACACAAACTTGAGGATTATAACCTGATCACAAAATACATTTGAGAATGCCAACAAAATATAACTTAAATTTTACCGATATAAATCGGTTACAAAAACAAGATCTACATTCAGACAACCTGATTTTGAGTTAAAACATTTTGGGAACCTAAGCTTCAAGAGCTCAGCCTTCCGTAACACGAAAACAGAGGACACTAAAAAACATCACATGGTTAAAAAGTAAGCGATGACAATGCATGTGAAACATTGCGAGTTATCCTATCATGTATAGGCTCCTGCACACACAACAAAAAAACAACACAACTTAGCCTCTTCACTTCACTCATTATTTAGCTACATTACAGGAGAGTTTCTTTTTACCGCTGTCTCGGGTATCTGAAATCTTGATTTTGTTATCGTCTCATACAAGAAAATGTATCTGCCATTCAAAAACATTATTCTTTATGCATTTTTACAACAACAGTGCTTAAAATTGCAACTAAAAGTACAATGGTTCAAATCAATCAATCAATAAGAATTACAATGGTAAGTGTAATCAAGGCATACCTCCAGGCTAGTTCAGTAACAAGCTCTTCAGGAGCATTGGGAAGAACCTAAATGATAAAAAAAAGAAATTGATATGAATCACATTTACCCAATCAACATTCAAACAGATAAATGTTAATATTCACCTTGTCCTCATAGGGATTGCAGTGATCTTTGAACCACAACCTCAAAAACTCCTAAAAACATTTCATATATCAAGCAAATTGTAAGGCTCCCATAAACAAATTTGGTGAGTAATGAAAGAGAAGGGTTGGACTTGGACCTTATCGACATTTTCGGGCTCAAGCCCATTGTTAAAGCGGGCCTCATAAGAATGGGCTAACCAGTATCTGCTTGAGTCAGGTGTATGGACCTCATCAATCAATAGCACTGAACCATCAGGACCCTTTCCAAATTCATATTTTGTATCCACTAATATCACACCATGTTCTAACGCCACACGCTGCAAATCAAAAACAAAGGCTAAATGCAAGAAATAGCAATGTACTTTCATTTTTTTTGTTTATTTTAAATCTTTTTGTTATTTGAAAAATATTTGTGCCAATAAAGAAATAAGACAAAATCACCTGGCCATACTCGAACAAACTCAATGCTTTCCTACTTGCTTCATCATAATCAGCTTGACTCATCAGCCCTTGCTGGACAATCTGCAAGATAGATATTTTACCCAAGGGCATTTTTGACATTTGGTTAAACAACTTCATTATACAAAATAGAGAAGAAAAGAGGACAATACACAAACCTCATCTGGAGTAATAGGAAGGTCATGATCTGCTGCTTTAGTAGTTGGTGTGATTATATTTGCAGGTAGCCTCTCGTTTTTCACCATTCCTGATGTCACATATGTTGGTATGTTAAATCCCAAAATAAATAAAAAAAGAAAAAAATTCAGATTTTTTTTACTACAAACCTTCAGGAAGAGCATTGCCACAGTAATTTCGCACCCCATTCTTGTATACAGTCCATAATGATGTATCCGTGCTTCCAGTCACATAGCCTCTTACTAAAAAGTTGGGACATTTCAATTTACAAAAGGAATAGAATGATAAACCATTAGGGGGAAAAAATCCTTAATGTTAATGTGGGCGCACATACCAACAAATTCTACAGGGAAAACAGAGCATTTCTTTGCAATAGTAACGTTTTTATCAGGAACTGCTATTATTGCATTTGGGGCAATGTGCTGAGTTTGGTTGAACCACCATAAACTTGTGTCATTAAGAACCTGCAAAATATTAAAATTTTCAACCAACCTTGTAAAATTTTAAACTAAATGAAATGAACGAAGATAAGAGGGAGAAGAATTACCTGGCCTTTGAATGGAATCGAAGCAAGAACCCTATCAAATGCGCTTTGTCGATCAGTTGTGACTAGAACAAGATAATCTCCCCCGTCATAAATATCTCTAACCTATAAAATGTCAAAAAGTTAACCAATTTCAGATCCATGAATGCAATTTATAAACGCTACCATGGTTACAGAAATTAGGGGAAAGTATTGCAGAATATCGATGAGCCATGCATGTCCCAAAACATAATTAAAGTTCGCATCTTGCTTAAAACTTCACGCCACTTCATGATTTCTTTTGATTTTACTTCCAAAATAGCCGAACAATTTGATCAGATGGTTGCTATTGTTACCGGGATCGATTCTTTTGGAGAAATAAAGACGGGGAACAAAGGAATACACAGCTTTTTACCTTGCCTCTTGTTTTAGATTTGAGAGAAGGGATGGTAAGATGAAGATTCGTCTCAGAAAGGCAATTCGAAAGCGAACTTGTTGCAGCAATCATAACTTCATCTCTACGGTCACTGCTTGTTAATGCATTTAAACTCAGCCCATCTTCTTGCTGCTTGGTTGCCATTACAATGGAAATCTTCGGCAATCTCTTCGAAAGTTGAGTGATCTTTAAATGAGATTTCGATGATGATGATAAAGGCAAATTGTTATTGATTGAATACGATGACGATGAGGAGATGATGGCTAGGGTTTTGGAAGGGTTTAAGCCTGGGATACACGCCATCCTTTTTCAAATTGACGACACGGTTATTCTCCTGCCTTCTCGAATTTGTGGCTTCACACCACACTTTTGTAGGAGAGACCGAGAAAGATGGTGACGGGTATGAATCTTAACCGAGAATCAATGCTCAAATTCGATTAAAAACGGAGAGCTAGGGTTTGGAGATTGTTAATTATAATTTATAAGTTTATAACCAAATTTTAGATATAAAGTGTTGCACTTTGAAAAAAAAAAAAACATGTATTTGAATTCAATTAAAATTAAGGTAAATTAAGATAAGAAAAAAATAATCTTAACCCTATTTATCTTTCCAAGTTTTAAGTAAAAATTTGGACCAAATTAATCACTATTTGGCATATGACATAGCAGAAATTATTTACGGAAATTTTTATATCAACATTGTTTTAAGGATTTTCGCAAATAATATCTAAAAAAATCTCAACTATCTACGATAAATAGGGCATCGATAGCTACCCTATCTATCCTTTCTGAGTTTTTTACACATTAATGTTGCATATTGTGACAAATTCTCTAAAAGACGATACAATCTACATATTACAATAAGTTTTATCGTTGTTTTAATGTTGTGTTACGTTTCTTTATATATGCAAATGTCGTTTTCTCACATATCTATAATATTTTTTCCATATGTCATTTACGAAAATGTCAGAACTATCTCACAAAACAACATTTTCTTACACGTTTCTTACCTTTTTGCAAATGACATGCAAAAAATATTATTTTTATATCAAACTCTAAAATATCAGCTTTATATAATCCGATTTTTTAGATTTGAGTTTAGATACCTTGAAATTTTGAAACCATATTTTTATTCGAAAAAATTGTATCATTTCACTATAAAATTCTTGAAAATAAATATTATAAAATTAGATATATTCAATAAATTCCTATAATTATCAACTCGAAATATGAAAAAATCCGACATAAAATAAGTCCAAAATGAACTTAGAGGCTGTTTGGTAGGATCTGAATTTTTAATAGCTGAATTTTTAAGAGGTCTGAATTTCTAAGAGGGTCTGAATTTTTAAGATCTGAATTTTCAAATGCTGTTTGGTTGGAACCTCTGAATTTGTTGTGCTGAATAATAAAAATGACAATTTTACCCTTCTTTATGATTTCTTTCAATTACAACATAATTTCAACCTTTTTCTTATTAAGGAATCATACTTTGAAAGCTATAAGAAGTTCTATCATTCTATTTTCAATCTTTTAATAGAAAAATACAATGCAATAATAATCTAATAACTAGAAATATAATGCTACTTCTTGTTACAATAGTCCGATCAACCAAATTTCATTCCCGTTTAATATCACCATGTGAAAACCAACCATTTTGTAACGTATAAAAAATAATTAATTGCCAGCAAGATCTTCAACTTCATGAAGTATCTTCAAATCGACCTATTATGCATTCATTACAACACATCAACCTGTTAAGCAAACCTAATGCTGATAAATCATCAACCTGTTATACCCATTATCAAAAACAAGTCAATAAAGATTTAAAACCTATGATTTGATTATAATGATTCAGAATCAGAACAACTTTCCATTAGCAAAAATCAAAACCATTGATTCCAAAAATACACTTGCTGATTCTAGAAAAAACCATAGCAAGTTTCATAAAAATAACAATCCTAACAACCGATGGAAAGGAACCAGTCTTCAAAATCATGTGTCAAAGTTAACAACAAATTAGGGGATACGATTTCATGTGTAGACTTCAATCCATCACACTGAAAAGATAAATACTAAAAACAGCATCACAGTAAAAAAACCCACAAAGACCAAAAAGAGCATCACGATTTCAAGTGTAGACTTCAATCCAATACCGATTCCAGAAATGGGTTCTTAAATTAACCCTAGAAGAAAGTCGATTTTAGAGAACCATTACCTGATGCTGTTGTCGACGAGATTAACGGGGATAGAGGGCGGAGCAGGTTGTAGCGTACAGCCGTACCTGATGTTGTTATCGACGAGATTAACGGGGATGGAGGGCGGAGCAGCGGCGGCGCAGGAAACGGCTCTAGTGGAGGCGGTGACCGGCCGGTGGCAAGAGTAGAGGCGGAGGGTTGCAGGTCGTCGGAGATGGTTAGGAGGGAAGAAGATGTTGTCTCGTGAAATAGAACAGAGGAGAGGGAATACGCTTTTGGGCAAAACGGGAAAGAGCGTGCCTTTTTTATTTTTCAGATACAACGCCAAGTCTGAAAAATTAAGAGGTTTTTTTGAGTTTAAGAGGTAAAAAATAAGATGCTACCAAACACCCTATATCTGAATTTTTAAGAGACAGCCTCTTAATTTCTCAATTAAGAGGTAAACAAACAGCCCCTTACTCCGATTTTTGTGCACCTCTAAAGCTTAAGCATATGTTTATCAAGATGGAATGAAATGGCCAAAGAATAGAACAAAAAAATTGTAATAAAATAAGCAAATCAATAAAATAGGGCATTATATTCTATTATGATGTATGGATCGAAAGAACAAATGAGTCATTCAAACATGTTTTTTATAAATACATATAAACCCATTTTTTGTAAAATTGATAAATAAAAAAATTTGTTTTTATAATAATAAATGTTAATTAAAGAAATAAATATCGTTCAATAAAGTGCATATAAACATAATTTATTTGGTTTAAAGTATATCTTATATGCTTTACAATAATTAAAAAAGTTATCTATTTAAAAAATTATAAAATATAAAGTTATATCTAATAAAATTTAGAGTATATTTATAATATAAAATATATTTATTTGGAAAATATAAAAATATATTAATTGAAGTTTTGAAATTTTTAAGAAGATTATTAAACATATTTTTTTTTCATAACATTCAATTCTATTTTCGATTACTAAATTCTGAACGCATCCTAATTTGGATACGCTAATTATACTATTCATTATTTCGAATACGCGATGGTAAATGAACATAAATGTGGTAAAATAATTAAAGACCCGTAATAACAAAAAATATGTTGCATTCATGTGTACTTTTATTATCTCAATGTCACATAGCAGCATATTATAAATTTCCCTTACCAAAAATTATTTTATGTAGCTTAGAAAAAATAGATGAGAGTATATTACTTTTTTATGCATAAACACATTTTCCAAAAACGTAATATGCACTATTATTATTATTATTATTATTATTATTATTATTATTATTATTATTATATACATTAATTTATTAATATTTAATTTAATAAAGAAATACGGGGTAGAAAAGAAAAGAATAGAAAACGCATCCGGGTCGTTGGCATTTGAGACACGTCGATTCCATCTATAAAAAGGCATTTCGCTAAACCCCCTCCAAATCTACGCATACCCAGATCTTCATCAAACAACCGATCCATCCATCAATGGCACCCGAGTGTTTTAGGGCTTCTTTCTACCTTCAATTCCATCAAACACTTGTTTATTTTCCCCTACATCTCTGCCTAACTCATTGAATCTGCATTCCCCGACACAGCCGCTTCTTCGAGGTTCATCTCCTTGCCCTAATTTTCGTTTTAATTTTACTTTGATATAATATTATTTAATACCATTCCATCATACACCCAAATCGATCCGCATGCAATTTACTTATTTTTTTGGGTTATCTGCTATTAATCTTTGTGTTTTTTATGGCGTGTAGGAGCGAATCAGGGTGTTCTTGGCATCGCAAGTGAAATTAGGTTAGGTTTATATAGATATTTAGTTTAAGGGTTTTGATGAGGAAGAAGAGAAAAGGTAGTGACCTATTATGGAGTGATAATAGAAAGGAAATCGTGGAATCAACCGGTGATTCAGAGTCTTTGATATCAAATCTCAAGTGTCATTACTCTTTAGAAGATTATGTTAGATTGAAAAAAAGGTGTTGTAAGGAAGACGTGATCTGTGGTGGCGGTGATTCTAATGGATCATGCAAGAATAGGCTTGCTGGTATTGCTGCCACTGCTCCTCCCTGTGCAACCTCGTCTCTGGTTTTATCAGGTAGAGGGATTAAGCGGAAAATTGGGTGTATCGATGTAGCTACTCAAATGGGTAGGAAGAACAAGATCGCAGAGGATTATATTAAGGGTGCGACGATTGGGAAAGGTAAATTTGGGTCTGTTTGGTTATGTAGGTGCAGGGTTAGTGGTGTGGAGTTTGCATGCAAAACATTGGTGAAAGGTGAGGAGACAGTTCATAGGGAGGTTGAGATAATGCAGCATTTGTCAGGGCATCCAGGAGTTGTGACATTGAAAGCAGTGTATGAGGATTCAGAATCATTTCATCTAGTTATGGAGTTATGTTCAGGAGGTAGATTGATTGATCAGATGACAAAGGAAGGTCGGTATTCTGAGCAAAGAGCTGCTAATATATTCAAGGAGTTGATGATGGTGATTAAATACTGTCATGATATGGGTGTGGTCCATCGGGATGTGAAGCCAGAGAATATTCTTTTAACAGCTTCAGGGAAAATTAAGCTTGCAGATTTTGGCTTGGCAATGAGGATCACAAATGGTACGCTAGTCTAAATTTATGTGGTTTTCTTTTTTTATCTTGCTTAAAGTCACAATGAATTTTCATTTGCCTTTTGAGAAACCAAAAGAAACGTTAATAGTACTTACTGTCTCTTAACACAAAGACTTCCCAACCCTTTCAAATTTATGGAGCTTTCATGCATTGTGGTCACCTTTTTTATATCATTCATGCGTCAATACTTACCCATCAAAATTTTGAATTACGTTATTTAGGAATTGGGATTTCATTGGTAATAAATAAAGTTGATTGTTTGATACAAAACTGTGAAATTGTATTTTTGGTAAAGCTAATTGTTTGATGTCTTCATGAAGTATCACTAACATATGCTAACTCAATCTCTCAACTTCAGTGTCCACAGGCTGGTGAAAATCTGATACAGTGGATTTTTGGAGTTAGGTTGTAAAAGGTCATGTAAAGAAGCATTTTAGGAAAAACTTAGCAAACATACTTTGATTCATATGTTTATTATAGTATATATATACTACTTTCATTTCTTGTTGTTATCTTTTTGGTTCTAAAATTTATATATTTTTTTTGTAATAATAATAACAGGTCAGAGCTTAGCTGGATTGGCTGGAAGTCCAGCGTATGTTGCACCAGAAGTGATAATAGGGAATTATTCAGAGAAAGTAGATGTATGGAGTGCTGGAATTCTTTTGCATGCACTTTTAGTTGGTGTTTTGCCATTTCAAGGAGACTCTTTGGAAGATGTTTTTGAGGCAATCAAAACTCGGGAACTCAATTTCCACACCGGAATCTGGGATTCCGTTTCCAAACCCGCCCGTGATTTGCTCGAACGCATTCTCACCCGGAATGCTGATTCCAGAATATCAGCCGAGGAAGTACTAAGTAAGTTTCTTAATTTTTTTTTACTAAATAAAAAAAAAAAAAAAAAAAAGCCAAAGTGCAATATAATACAACACTTGTACTTCAACAGAATTCCATTTCCTTTTCTTTAATACACATGGTGGTTGTTTTTTCAGGTCATCCATGGATTATATTCTACACGGAGCGCAATTTAAGGTCTCTATCATTCAAGTCAAAGTCAAAGCAGCAGCATGTGATAACAGCCACTGCATCTGCATCAACTGTAGTGGAGTTGGAATCAAGTAGAAAGAAGAAGATGGTGATGATGGATGATGGAATGAAGAAGTCATCATCTCCATTAATATTGTTAACAACATCAGTTTCAGAAGAACAGGTTGAGGATGAGGATGATGATAGTGGTTTGGTTGATGCACTTACAGTTGCAATCTCTCATGTCAGAATATCAGAACCCAAGAGGAGCCGATTGTGTGTGCCCACAAGTCCCATTAGAGAACAGTGCTCCTCTACAACTAATAACCACCTCTGCAAAGCATGTTGACTTTACTTGACTCTCTCTCTCTCTCTCTCTAACTTTGACTTACTACTGAAAGCTTAATGAAGAATGAAGAAGTTGGTATATATAGTGAATGTAAATATAAGCTAGTAATGATGATGATGATTTATGTAGATTGGTTTGGAGGGCCTGCTATTATTGTGATATGTTTGCTTGCTCTTTTTCTTATATTCTCTTGTCTTTCTAAATCTGGAAACTTTAGCAAGCAAGCACAGACTCTGAATGAATATGAATACTAGTAATAAATTGTTCAAATGGGTTTGATCAATATCGATTTTCTTTATCTTTAAGCGTAAAAGTTGGTGTGAGCTATTACTTGAAGTCTTATTTAAGAGATGATAAATGCAATATCTGTTTTTTTTTCGTCATTAAATTTATGATGATGTTGCAAGATCAATTTATCCAAATTCTAATGTTATAATGAAGGGAGAGAGTGCCAAAGATGAAGAATACTTATACTTTTGATGAAAATTTTGCAATTTGATTCGTTTTTTTGTCTATATACCTCCACGAATGAAGGTTTGTGTTATGAATTGAATCTCATATATCCAGCAAACAATGCTTGTTTGGCAATCCTGGAATAGATCATGAAGTGAAAGCACTCAACTAATCTGGTCAGCAATGGAGAATTAGAATCTCAAACTGAAGTAATACAAGTTATTGGTATTTCAATACCCGAACAAGATACATCAAAAGGACCTGATATTGTACAAGAAGCCTAATCCGATCCTAAACCATTGGATTCTCCAACAGATGATTGGTCAACAGCTTCCCAACAACCCCGTATCCAACATATGGAAGAAAAGAAACCAAATAATAACGTTCATGATGATGTTATGTTCCATCATAAACATGAACACCAAAAGCAAACATACAAAACGCACACATCTAGGATGTTGAGCGGGTGTTTGGGTTAGCTTCTCAAAATAGCTTTTTAAAAAACTAATAAGCTAAAAATGTGGTTGGGTGTCTAAAAGCTAGAAAATCTTAGGTTTTTCTTCATTTTACCTTTCAAAATTGATTTTCTAACCTAAACATTTTTTAAAAACAGTTTTCCAAAAAAACCATAAGATAATAAGCATTTTTCTTAAAATCAATTTTATGATAAAAACAACTAACTCAAACACATCACAGTTGAGATGTACAACCCCTAAGCACAGGGTTATCAGATACATAGCCACATCAATTTTTACCTGGCTGAAAAAAGTTTTTTTTGAGCAAGTCAACATAGACTTTAGGGTGCAAAAAAACAAATAAAAGACCTTTCGAATCAAATGTGAAAAATGCATAGGTTTAAGTAACATTAAGCTTTTAGAAAAAGCAAAAGTTTATTTTAAAGTAATGAGGGGTTACTTTGTAATACATTCTAGAAGGTGGACAATCGACACTTTCCTCATTTTGGCATTTTTCTTTTTATTATCCTTCGAAATGATGGTTTATTCTTTTTAATAAAGTGATTTGGGACTTGAAAAAGTTAAATACACTTTGGACGACCTTTTGCTCGTTTAACCCTATCTTTTTAAATCGACATTGTCTTTGTGTATCTAGATAAATAAGGAATTCTACCTATTAATGTAAGCAAATAAACCACATAAGTAAGTATTTTTTATTTCAATATTAGGTGTAACACTCATGTATTATATGAATTATTTAAAAAATTAAATATAAAGGTCTAAATATTTAATAACTTTGGATTTATAAGAAAATAAAAAAAAATTATTAAAATTGATTTTTCTTTGAAATTTAATTAAATAAACAAAATAAACTAATTAGCTTTAATTTGACAATTTTAAAATAAGAATGTAATTCATTAATGAAATTGATATTCATTTATTATTATATTTATTGTAATTATTATATTAATTTAATGTGAAATTTATTAAAATAGAAAAACTCACATGTAGAAAAGAAATTAATTCAAAATAACCATGACATTTGGCAAATTGAATGAAAATATAACATGTAGCAAAAAAAAACATTCATTTATTAGAGTAGACTAATTGTGAGACTCATGTATTATATGTGTTAATTAAAAAAAAAAAAGTTAAATATGAAAGTTTAAATATTTGTGAACTTTGATTTTATAAGAAAAAAAATAATAAATTATTAAAATCGAAATATTTTTTATCTTTTAAGTTTAAATAAAAAACTAATTAGATTTAATTTAGGAATTTTAAAATTAAAAAGTAAATTCATTAATGAAATTGATATACATTTATTGCTACATTTAATGTAATTATTAGGTTAAAATATTAGGTGGAATCTGATAAGTAGAAAAACCCATAAAATGAAATGTGAAAAAAAAAAAAAATTCAAAAAAACACAAAATGATATTTGACAAATTAAATAAGAATATAATATGGCAAAACAAAACCCTCATTTTTTAGAGTAGATTGTATTGATGTGACAAATGATAATTTTTATCAAACAAAACGAATTCATGCCAAGAGCACATCATCATTTGATCAACATATTTTTTGTTTGCCAACAGATACATTCTTAGAGCAACTTCAACCATAAAACACGAAATTGATGATTGTTTAACACTAAAATGGTGTTTGCATTCCAACCAAACACTAAAATTGTGGTTTTTAGAGGCCATGTAGCTTGACCTTCATATTTGGTATGTGAATCTATCCCAAACACTAAAATGATGTTTTTTAAAAGTTGATTGGAATGAGAACATCATTTTATTGACCTCTATAATTGTGTTTTAGTGGTTGGTTGGAGTTGGTCTTATGAGATGCATTTGATAAAAAAAAATAATAATAATAAGAATTTATATCTATAATTATATACAAAAAAATATGAAAACATCTTCTTACGTCGAGGGAATTGCACGTATAGAGATTCAAAAAAGAATCGACATGATCCAAATCATAATCTATATGGAATTTCCAAAAATCTTAATTAAAAATCGACCCCAAGGAATCGAAAAAAGAATTTCATTCTGTAAATAGAAAACTTAACATTGCTATCACACGAATTGAAAAGCCTTATGAAAACCCTAATATTCTTGCAGTATTTATAACATGCAAATTAAAAAATAGTTTCTTTTCGCGCAAAGCAATGAAAAAGACTATAGAACTAACTGAACAAGCAGATACAAAAGGAATTCAAGTGCAAATTGCAAGACATATCGATGGAAAAGAAATTGCAATGTTGAGTGGATGAGAGAGGGGAGAGTTCCACTACAAACCATTCGAGCTAAAACTGATTATTGTTCCTATACAATTTGAACGATCTATGGGGTATTAGACATCTAATTTTGGATATTTATAGACATATTTTTAACAATCATATCAACCACATCACAATAAAGAAGAGGAAGCATAAATATAATATAAAGAAGGGGAGAGAACTTTACTGACTTTATGGTTTTATAGAGTTATGCAGAAGTAAGTTATAATCTTTACATATGAAACAAAACACGTTTTCTTTTTAGGTAGTATTTGCAATTCTGTCTTTTTTCATGAAAGGAATAATAAAAAGGAGGTCTGTTGTTGATAGGTGAGCTCATCTTCTTGAAAACTTAGACCAGAAATAAACGAGCATTAGACAAAAAAGAGCAAAAAGAACAACATGCAAAACATGGGTTGAACCAGACTGAACAATGCTTTTGTTTAATTTCCTCATGTTGTTCTTCACTCCTGCTTGTGCTTTTATAAGTGTCATTTGCTGCAACAACATTCAAATTCTAATTAAATTCACAACATCATCAACTCAGATAACCTTCCAATTTTAGCATCAAATAACAATCTACTTCCATTTATTCATAGATAAATAATTAAGAAAATCACACAGCAACTTAAAATATATATATATACCACATCAAGAAACATACCAGCTGATTGATAAAGTCATTCTGGAATTTGGCCTCTGACTCAATCTCTGATGCCACCTGTAATGCAACAATAATATTTGATTTTAGAATTTGCGATTTGTTTAGCATTTATTTTGTTATACACATAAACAATGATATGGTATACTTTGGTAAACAAACATCCACCAAATACAGTATATCAATATATCAGAAAAATATAATGTGAGGTCATGTAACATAAGAAACTGATATAAAAGTTGCTTACATTTTTTAACTGTCTAACTTGCTTTCGGAGGCCACTGATCTCATCATCCAGATCAGCATGCATTGGATCAATACGCAGCTGAATTTCATCAGAACCAGTCGCTTGTCTGGTGCTAAGTCCTTCTCTGTGAACAAGTTTGAATTTGTCAACATGTTTATATGAGTACTAATAAGATCAAGTTAGGGCTTAAATGTTTACTTGTTTTCTTCTTATAGGCAATTAAGCTTTTTATGGTTATTAGGCCTATTATATCACTGAGAAAAAATAAATTCAAGAAGATAAGCACCTGGATCTATATGGAGCAGCACCATAGTAGCCACCACCTCTGTTAGAACTGGACGCCATTCAACAAGAAGAAAAACAAAGGAATCCTGAACAAAGAAGTGAATAAGATCACGTTGCTGAAAGCATATTATGTATAATATGGAAAATCAGGGAGAATCATAAACCCGATTCTTTTTCCAAAGTGAGACATTAAGATTCTAAAATATAACTTTTCATGTACAGAACCCTTGCACTTCATGTACTGATGCTTTTTACCATTTGGTTGTTGATTTGGTGAGGTTGTTTGCCATAATCCACCATTGTTTCCCACTGATTTATATTGACTAATGATATTTCAACAACTTTTAGCCGTTTTCAATCTCAAACAGTAAGTTCCGAAATCATAGCACAGAGCACATACAGCCTAATTTACGCAATCGGACATACAGATACGCACGAACACCATACGATATAAGATGAAAAGGGCGTAAAAGTAATTGTAAAAGCAAGTAGGTTATGTCAGGAGCAACGTTGTAATCACTGATCGCAAATCAACACGAATACCATGTATTCATGATCTGGAATATGAGGATCAACTTGTAAAATAAAATTTTCATAAGCCCATTTTCCTAGGGTTCAAGTTATGTAGAAATTTCATGCATAAGTAAACGACTTTTTCAAAAAATTTATCCAAAGAGACATTCAGATCCATAAAATTGAACGGGAAATTAAACTTTAAACTCTTACAGATTGAAATCGTGATCCGTATCAGCCGCAAAGATCGGAGACGAACAAGGTCAAAATCGGAGATCTGGTTCTACAATTTCGAGAGAAAACTGAAACTTCCGATTCGATTAATCGAATCTCACTGTTGTAATCCTTGTTTTCAATTACAACTTGTCCCAATTCTGAAAATTGTAAGCCGTTTCAAATACAACTAGTCCTTTCCTGGAAAACGGGTAAGATTGAGCTCTCGCGTTCGTGCCTTCGTG